ATTGCTGATATATTAGCACTTTTTTTTTAGAAGCATAATATAATAACGCAGTCCCAATACGGCTTCCAAAAGCAAAAACCGGTGGAGCTAGTGCTTCTTAACAGAAAGGAGAAAAGAGTTGAAAATATTGAAAACAAATTATCTACTCTTGGTATCTTTTAGATTTAAGTAAAGCTTTTGATACTGTGAAGTGCAATATTTTACTGAGAAAACTTGAAATTTACGGTGTGCGCGGAGTAGCTCTAAAATTAATTGAAACGTATCTTGCAGATCGTTACCAATATGTAGTAATAAACGGCGAATCGTCAAATCGACTTAAAATACAGCATGGTGTTCCTGAGGGGTCAAATTTAGGTCCACTTCCTTTTGTTATCTATGTTAATAATATAACGATTATATCCTGTTCTCCCAATCTAATAATAGACAGTTTTAGTGGATCGTACGCTAAAGCCTTGCGTACGCAATAAAATTGCGGGTCGGGAGTGCGCGTGCGCAGAACGCAATAGAAGAGCTAGCGTATTGCGTACGCACGCAACGCTGGGGATTTTGCGTGGCGGGCTAGCGGGCTCTGCGGGACGTTCTCGAGAGATCTCGGACCCAACGAGAGCGCCAGTTTCAAGATGGCGGTTACCTCGACTGGCGCAGCAAAGGCGACGTGGTGTTTTCGAAGATCTGTGTTACGTGAAATTGCGTGGTGTTCAGCTCGGCAATTCTTTCCGGGACCTCCGGCGGTCGAATCAGATCGCCGTGCAGCTGAAGGAGTGCGCAGTGAAAATGTTCGCCGCTTGGAATGTGCGTCAACGCTGCGATCTGCTCAACGCTAAGCCTATTCGCACAGTTCATCGCCGACGGACGAGCGACCATAAAAGAAATCGCCGAAGTTCTCGCTATGTACTGGACATCAGTAGGTCATGAATTTCATTCCGCGATAGCATTGATAAAAGGTGCCGTTTCAAAGGAAAGATTGACGGAGGCTCCGTGATCAAATTTGGACGCACTCTTAAGCCTGGTTCAGACAGTTGCGTTTGACTGCGTTGCGGCAGCGAGAAACCAGGACATCCCTGCTACTTATATCGCGTGCTAAGATGATTCTTTGAATTGGATTGCACGCTTCACACAAAGCACAGATGTGCCGGTGACTCGCTTTCGGTTCTCGACGCAACGCAGTCAAACGCACTCAAACGCAAGTCTCTGAACCGGCCTTTACTCGTAGCCTCTGTACCCCGCAGAAAAGCACGCTTGACGAGGCAGCTGCGGCTTGGTTTAATTTGAAATAAAATCATTGGACACGTTTTCATCTTCAATATTTCTTTCCAGGAGCATGGTTGCTCTATAAGCACGCGGAATTCTGCAGCTCTAGCAAATCTAACCAAGATCATGCGCGGTGTTCACTCGAAAACGTAACGCACAGCTAAATTCGGTCCGAGCAGGTCATTTTTAGCGTACGCTATACTATTGCGTATTGCGTGCGTAAGAGCCAGCAACGCTATACTAAAACTGTCTAATGTATGCAGACGATACCAACGTATTCGTTTCTAGAGTGACGAAAAAATGCCACGAAAATGCTGCAAATGTCTACCTATTGAAGCTCTCCAATTGGTTGCAAACAAAGTGTTTAAAATAAATAGAAGCGAAACTAAGTATATTACGTTTAAGCCAGTAAATAAACTCGACTGCAGGCCTATAAACTTAAAATTTGAAGACACTGTGCTTGAGAAAGTGTCGGAACAAAAGTTTCTCGGTGTATGGTTTACTGAGGACCTTTCATGGGACACTCACGTGAATAAACTAAAAGGTGAATTATCTCATGTTACGGGAAGTACATCTAAAGTACGAGACTTGCTGCCCACCTGGCCAAAACAGACGTTTATTATTCTTTTTTCTAGTCTAAAATCAGTTATGGCATCTTAGTTGGGGGGACGGCGATCGATTCGAACTATGTCAAGCTTATCCCCTTGAAGAGCAGGATTCTTCGCATGGGCAAAAATTATGAAGGAGATACCAGAAACCAAAGAGCCCAACCACTATTCGTCCAATGTAATATGCTTTAGGCAGACCAAGTATGCTATTTTAAGCTCTTACAATGGATTCACAAACACAGAGTATGCTCCACACGAAAAGCGAGTTTAGGTCCTTACCAACTACGAAACCCTAAGCGAAGGATGCCTCCAATAAGAACCAATTATGGCCGCCAAACTTTGTCATTTCAAATAACCAAGATGCTAGACAGAACAACTATGACTATAGATTATAGTAAAACATTCCATGCCTTCAAAAAACAGTGCCGAAGCTTATACTCGTGGACAGTGGTATCAGCTTCTTAGTTGTGTAATATATGTAGGCTAAGTTGTTATTCTTATTATGTACTTACACGAGGGGGATGAAAACGTTCTGGGACTGATATTGTAGCGTAGAAAGTGAAGGCAGTACAGTGATGCGCGCGCAGCAGTCAAAGTAAAAAACCTTCCTGTCTCGTTATACCAAAGGGCGTCGCTCTGTGAACATTTGGAGCTGCGCTACACTTGTTTGGTTGACCACATGCACGAGCATGATGGCGATCTTTCTATACACTGCAAAGCAAGGTGAGAACGAACATAAATTTTACTTCAAGCTCAGCAAACAAAAAACAGAGGCCTCTAAGATGATTGAGAAGGCTTATGTAAAAAAAAAATGTGAATAAAAAGTGAGGTGTGCGAGGTGTTTGAGTGGCTCTCGCGCCTCAAGAATGGCACGACGTCACCGAAGTCAAGGAGAGGTCGGATAAGGTCGCCCTACCGCTCTTCGTCTTCCCGCGATGTTCTGCCCTTCCTGAAGGGCGAGTTCCACTTAAAAAAACTTTGCCAAATTCACTGCTTTTTTACACAAGCCTGCTGAATCATATCGAAGGTCTCTGCTTTATATTTGTCGAGTTTGACGCATGATTGATGTTCGCTCTCGCTCTGGTTGTAGTCTATAGTAAAATCGCCATTGTGCCCATGCACGTGGTCACAAAAACTCGCGAAACGCAGCTCCAAATGTTCCCAGAGCGGTGCCCTTTGGTATAACGAGACACAAAGGTCCTTCCCTTTGACTGCTGAGCACGCATCACTGTGCTGCCCTCTCTTTTTACGCTACAAAAACAGTCCCGGAACTTTCTGATCACACCTCGTACTTAACTACAAATGTGGCTCTTGTCATATATTCGATCACTCTTCATTGCTAAACTAAATGGCGGCCATCAGTCTTATTTTATGCTGTAACCATCTTCTCTCTCTTTTTTTTTCCTTTTGTGTAAGGCGTTTTTTTCATGTCTATATTAGTGATATGATGCTTCTGTGTCACACGACATTACATTTGGTTTACACTACGAATCATGCTTGTTGTGTAACATGTGATTTTGCTAGTTGTTTTATTGTGCCCTTTTATTTCATTTTACATTTCGCACTGTTCAATGTTGAACAACCTTTCATTGTACCTTCTTTTTTATTTTTATTTTTACTGAGTAGGTCCTGTTTTGCTGAATGTATTCATTGCATTGTTGACTGTTGAACTGTAGGGGGGCAGAGACTCTTTCAGGCTTCACGCCTTTATCTCTGCCCCCCAAAGCGGAAGAAAACTGCAACAAATAAAAGAAAAAACATACAGAAAGTTACGAAAGAAAACGATGTTTTAATGCATGCCAGGAGTGATGACATTCAAGATGGCTGCGCCCTTGTGGAAAAGGTGTATACTAATCATTCCTAAGAGAGTTCGGTCTTATGACGAACCCGCTCGCCCTCGTATCCTTCTCTCCTTCAGTTTCTACTCGTGCAACCCCTTCGTCCCTATACTCCGTTCACCCTTAAACTGAGCCTGAGCTAGCCGACGCTCCTGGCTTTGTGACGTGCATTTCCAGCTCGAGTGCTCCTTCCGCGGAGGAGCGCTTCAAAGCAGCCACCTGGGGGGCTATGTTGCGCGTCTTGGACTCCCAGGAGACTAGGGAGAAGGAAGTGACGTCAACAACGTTCTTTGAATGTTGATTGGTGGAGTCGCTGATGGACGGTATCTGCAGAAGATACGTTCATTCACACCTACGTCACTTCCTTCTCCCTAGTCTCCTGCCCGTCCAAAACGTGCAACATAGCCCTCCTGGAGCTCTCGCGCCTGTGGCATTGGCTGCAGTCTCAGCTTAAGGGTGAACGGAGTATAGGCATAGAGTCCTCTATTGGCGACGTGCGCTATCGACAGCTTCGCCGTGGTCGGCCTTCCACGATTGGCCGAATGCTGATTATGACGTCAGCAAAGAATTTCTGATTGGCGGAAATACGAGTAATGTAAGAACTTCAATTTTGACGCAGTGCTGGTTTCAGAGCGCTATGGTTTCAAGCTTCCACCATGCTCATTTCAAGCACCATCAAACTTGTTGTTCGTAAGGTAATGACGTCACGAGAGAAAACTATAGGAGGGCGCTACCGAGACATCTCGCTGCTAATACTGACAAAGCCTGGCAGATCGCCACGAGAAGCGGCCGCCGGAAGTGAAAAGATAGAGCGGCAGACAACGGGTGAGAGGAGAGCCACGTGACGGGCGCCCCGCTGCGGCGAGACGCCGAAACACACTTGTCCCGAGCGATGGAATGTCCGCTCGTGCTCCTCGCATTCGTCGCTCTACTGCTTCTTTTCTCGCCGGGTTTGAAAACCATGTTTCGGATCCTCGCCGCTGAAAAAGCTGTGCGCTGACGTCCAGGTTCCCCGAGAAATGACCTCTGGTACCAGGCTGTCGCGCCCCACATCTGCGACCGGGCACTCTATGGCTCCGTTGTCGAACTGCCAGGCTTTGTGAGTATAGAGCAGGCCACGGTGGAGCAGGCTATGGTATAGGAGTAGGCGGCTATGCCCGAGACAGCTCGTACTGTCTCGTGCTCTGCACGCGCGAAGCTCCAGCGGAATTGTCGCACGTTCAGAAAGTTCATTCGGTGCTTGCGGCAGCGGTGGCGTGGTCAACCACTCTTGTGAGATGGAACTTTTCTTTCCGTCCCTTAGGTCGCAGGAGGTGGCGATCGTGGATAGCTCCAACGGTCAGATGGACGAGCTGCTGGCGGGCGGGACGGCGCAGCCGGCGACCCGCGCCATGGACGCCGTGCTCCGGTCCCTGCCGCCCGGGGAGTCGTGCGCAGCGAGGCAGTCGCCGTTGGCCGGACGCCTGGGTGCAGGCAAGGTTGGCCGACAAGTCGTCGAGCACGTCCTCGGGGCCAGGTCAGCAGGGCACTTTCACTCAAAAAAGGACTACCACTTCTGGGCGAACCCTTTCGCGTCCGTGGCTCGGTTGGCAACCAATGGAGGCACGCCTCTGTTATATGCCTGCCTTACTTGTGCATTCAGAGGGTAATGCACCCAAAGAACGTAATATAACACGAGGGTTGTCCAATCGTTCATTTACCTAAATAAAAAAAAATCATTTTTAGAAAATAATGGGTTCTATCTAGTCCCCTGATACCTGTATGTACTTCACAACCTTTTGCTAAAATAATATTAGCCCATTTGAAAACACAAAAAAAAGAATCTTCTGTTCGATTTTTAATTTAGGAAGTCAAAGGTGCTTTGAAGTCTGAAATCAAAGGCACTTTGAAGATAGTGAAGTTGCGATGTCATGGCAACGCGCAAGCCGCTTCTCCGCGCGTCTTTCACGTTGCGTAGCGTGATTTCGTTTCGTCAGCAATCTCTATTTCCTCCAATGCTTTTCCCAACGCACGGGTCCCTCGAAACTGTCCGGCTTTTCCCCTTTTTGTATAAGATAAGACACAGCCGCACTTCATAGATCAGGACGCTAAAAACAACCGCTGGGAAATTATCGGAGAAGAATTCAAAACAGGCGAGTTTCTCTGTGGCACTTGTTCCATATCGCCCGTCTTGTGACCGATGTCGTGTTGATTTGGTGACACTCTCGAAGGTAGCCTTCATCTGTGGAACGTAGCCGTCGCTGCAAAGCACTGACCTGTCCCTCGGGGTTTCGGTAGCGCCAACTCGGCCGAACCAAGAACCTGCGGCTCATGCCCATCGGAGCACGGCGACGTCGCAAGATCAACGAGCAGGCTAGGATGATCACATTCACGATGATCACCAGGTCATCATCGACACCTGCCACGTAGGCAGCCAGTGGGGTTTCAACGCTGATGAATTCGAAAGATGGGAGCCGAAACAGAAGAACCTAATGAAGAGCAGAAGACGAAAGCGCAAGATATCCGGCGGAGGCGCGCGCGCGATCTCGAGCGGTCGAGGAACGCGAGATCCAGTGCTGTCACGTGACTATAACATCGGCAAAGCGCAAACCATTGTGGCCCCCTCACATTAGGGCTCCCGACGGCGGTGCCGCCCAGCGACGCCGACCGGTAGCGTTGTCGCCTCTGGTAAGGCCTTAAGCCTTGCCCGTGCCCTCTCCGTGAGACGTCGCTTCCGTGACGGGTCGCCCGAGATGCCAACCCCTCCTGGATCCCACTGCAGAGCGATCATACAGCACAGGCAGTGAGCATGCAGCAGGCGACACCAGCAGCGACCCTTTATCTCGCATTAAATTGGTAACGTTAAATTTGTCTTGGTCTCGCCTCTCCTCAGCGTGGACCCACCACGGCGTGTTAGTGCTTTCCTTCTTTGGGTCGTCACAGTTGTACATGTAAAAATACAAAGGTGAGAACATATGACACACACGCCTATTGAGGAGTATTAATGAGCATATAAACGCGTATTAAAGAACATTACAGACGACAAATACGAGACAAACACGTATACGAATTAGTACTAAAGTAAAAGTAGTAAATACTAAACCCGAGTGTTTCCAACTACTCGATCTTGGTCAAGTGCTTTATGAGCACCGTTTGCAACACGAGCTACTAGGAGGCGATGAATCCGTTGACCGCGTGCAGGCGTCCGCGCCTCTTCGCCCGCTTTCGTCCTCGACAAAGAGACCCATGGGCACTTGCAACCAATCTGCCCAAAAACCTAAAACATGCACCATTAAAAAAAAATTTTGTTTTAGTTCTTTTTAATCTTTTTTTTAATTTAGGCTCTTTAGCGATGCCTGTATCAAGTGGCGCGATCTCGCGATAGTCGCTGCGAGCAGACGACTGAAGCATGGAACACATGAGCGGCGAAAGTGGGCGCCGGGCGGCGCTCGCCGCTGAGCGCGCCACAGGCGTACCAAGTGGCTTTATCTGTATCGACCAGATCCGAGCGACGCCGTGCCGCGCGGAAGGGACGTTGCTACGATACTGCGGCGCGGCTCCCGTTCTCATGGCTCGTGTGTCCCTTGTAAGGAGGATAGAGGGGTAGGAAAGGGCCTGATATCAGCCGCGTAGCCTTTCCAAGCCATGCTCCCTTGACACCCCGTCTCTTTCGCATTTTCCTCCGTACTCTCCTCCCTTATCAGGCCAACGTGACCATATCACGTGACCGTAGCTAAACTTCGTCTAGCCTTCGATCTCATAGAACCTACCGGACGGAGCGCGCGCAAGCCTGCAAGGAATCCTTCTAGAATCAACCATCCATCTCGCACGTGACATGTCACGCGCACCAATCGCCAGAGAGATCTGCGGTCACGTTGTGCAAAATATCGTTTAAACTTTTTATGACTAGGCTTCACCAATGTTGCCACGTCCCCCTCCTAGTACTTGTAACCTCCTTGGTCCCTTGCTTGAGTGCGGGATTTGCACGCAGCGTCTATCGGTAGAAGACGCCACGCGTTACAGGCATTACAGACTTGGCGAGGTGTGCGAACAGGTTTGCAGTTAACGATGGCCGGTTTGTTGGTTTTATCTTTCCCAGGAAGGAAGCTACAGTCGAGCCTGGTTATATCGAACCCGGATATTTTGTAATTGACTGCTTCGAACAGTCAAAACATCTCCTTGAAAATCACTCGTAAAAGTAGAGGCGCCTTGTGCATCTGTATCGAACTGTGCCACCCGGTACATTCGATACATCGAACCGAATAACAGTTAACTGTTGAGCTTCTTGGTACATACTTGTAAATACATCAGCTTCAACTTTAGAATTAAACTTGAGCACGAAGAAAGAAAGGACCGGAGAGGTCACACAGCTGACTACAAACGATGTTTTAGTGTGAACTTTTTCCTTGCTCGTTTGCTCCTTCATTTGGAGTTCAAAGTCGAGCACGACAAACCTATTACATAAATGAACCTATTGCATTAATAAATATCCCTACCTACATGTATAAGTGTAAATATCGGTAGTATTTTTTTTAATTTAAAATCGTCCTACAATTCTTATATTTTCAAACACAGGAGCAAACCCACGCCTGCTGCTGCGGAGTGTAAAATGGCCAGACCATGTCTCACGAAGAGAGTTGCAGTGCTCCCTCAGTCTGCCAATAAAGCAGCGTCCCGTTTGGTTTGGCCCACACAGGTCTTACGGCAAGACAGTGAAATGGTAGCGGAGAAAAAAAAAATTACATGTTCCTTTCTACATGAAAAAGCGCCATTTTCCTCTCCTGACAAGCGGACGTTCTTGCACACCTTTAGCAATTAGCGAGCAGCGCTCAATGAAACTGGCACATCACACCCCACAACGACGTTTTTAACGCTATGGGACACACCGCGGAGGTACAGAAGCACTATAAAGGCCATACAAATTTCTTCCGTGGCGCCCGATTACTGCCCCTCAGACTTTTTAGTAAAACACCGATCACCCGATACCTCCTCCCTGTCTTTCGCACGTGTCCCCTTTCTCGCCTCTTATTTTTTTTTTGTGCGATTTTATTTTATCCTAAAGTCTGGCTAGTCGAGTCCGTCGACAACGGTGCGCAATCGCGCTTTCAGCGCTTTGCTCATCTTTGTTTATCTCTTTCATTCGCTGGTTTTACTTTGCCGCTTTTGTTTTGAAGTAATGTTTGCTGTCTGATTTTACACCTTTTTTTATTTGCTCACTTGACATTTTTTAGTGAATCAAGAAAGACTGGTATTATTCTACCATAGCTTCCTCTATACTCACAAAGCCTCGCAGTTTGACGACGGAGCCATAGAGGGCCCGGTCTCAGATTGGGAGCGCGATGATCTGGTAGCACGGAGAAGTTCTCGGGGAACTTGGACGTCAGCGCACAGATTTTGCAGCGGCGAGGACCCGAAACATGGTTTTTGAACCCGACGAGAAAAGAAGCGGAAGCGCGAGGAACGCGAGGAGCACGAGCGGACATTCCATCGCTCGGGAGTAGTGTGTTTCGGCGTCTCGCCACAGCGCGGCGCCCGTCACCTGGCTCTCCTCTCATCCATCGTCTGCCGCTCTACCTTTTCAATTTCGGCGGCTGCGTGTCGTGGCGATCTTCAAGGCTTTGTGAGTATACAGGAGGCTTTGATTCTATGCGTCCTGCTTTTTCAGTCTTCTATTTTTTATTATGTTCGTGTTCTGTCGCCCGTGCGTCCGTGCGTCCGTGCTGCTGATGTCGCTGCCACACCGCCACATCGCGGTCGCGACCACGCGCGCGCGAACGGCCGCGCCAGTGGTTCTCCTCATCTACCGTATATAGCGGTTTTTGGATGCTCTATTTATAGGATTCCGTGTTTTCGGAGTTTCTTTTTTTTTTTTCGTCGAAAATTTTGAGTTTATATGTGATTATTTTTGTTTGCTTTCCAATTCTTCCAAAATCTGAGTTTAATTTTGCAGTGTTTCCTATTAAGAATAAACAAATAAGTAATATTCGGGTCTGAACATATGTTAGATAAAAATATTAAACGCGCTTGAATCAGTCAATATGTCTTCAGCTGGGTTTGGCGTTCGTGTCATTGCCATTGGCAATACTATTTGTCCCACGACAAAAGTTGCACGTAAGTGTTGTTTCGATAAACGTCGATAGCTTAAAATCAATAAACACCTGAAGGTAGTCGTTGAGAAGGTCGTATTTATCCCATCCCATTAAAACCCGCGGCAGTTCCAGATGGAGTGGTAAAGACGTATTAGAGAAGTCTCCCATGTTATGCAACCTCTATGGTTCATAGCTTTCACCATTAGAAAAACACAAACTCTCCATCTCCTAAAGCACGAATAGTATGGCAAAAACTGGAAACGAAAACAGTCACTTTTATCCTGACCCGAAAGTACAATGATCTCTTCTAATTAACCTCGACAAGATAAGCGGTAAGACCCCTTTTGAGAATGGTTAGAGATTTAAAAGATAACTGTGGTGGCATGTTCCCAGGACCATTGACCTTCTGCACTGACCAAACTCAATTGTAAAATACTGTCTTTGTTCGTTTTGTTTTTTTGGTGAAGCTGCGACGACAATGAGGCATTGAAAGCGAGGGTGCTAAAGTCTGTCACAGCGAGTTCCCATACTACGAGCCGCACTCTGGCAACCGCAGTGCAGATACGAGATCGGGACGATTTATACGTCACGGAATCGTACATTCTACGAGCGTCACGTTGCGAGTGCTTCCGGAGCACTTGGAACTTTCAGTTTTTGAATCGGGGGATGGAAAGTGGAGAAATTGTCAACAAATATCTCCCAACCAGTTCCTATTTTTTTTCTTTTGAATTGTGTAAGTTGGTTTAACCTTTTAGGGCGGCTGTCCTCAAAATTACGAGCACAACATGCCCCTTAAAACCAATAACTGAAATATTAATTTAAGAACTTCAGTTGATTACTCACCACGCCGCCTGTTGTTCGCCCCTCGAATGTCCGTCCAGCTCAAGCAATATGTAGCGCAAACGACCTTCAGGTTGCGGTAAAGAAGCATAAAAAAAAAAAGAATTTGTTTCGGTTAAAAATATTACCCCGTATAACCGTATTAGACTGTATACCTCAACCTTTCATCAGCTAAAATCAACAACCTCGATGCACATTCGGTCACAGTTCAATTTTTGAACGTGTAGGCGCCGATCTTTTTTAGCTCGTTTGACAAAGCAGAAATTAATTAATCACCTATGTATCTGTACATCACTCACGTATACCAAATAATAAACGGATGTGGAACATGATTAGTTAGACAATTGACAGCAATTCTCCTCACCAAACTCGGAATGTGGGTTTGCTTAAAAAGTTCAAAATACAAAGTGAGAAACCATACACTCCGAATTTGTACCGGTCCCGGAGTTTGCAAAAATACATAAAATTGACCAGGCAGGGTGTATTGTCCGCCCCTGTTCGCGGCCTTTTTCGCTGCAGTTCGGCGCCTGGGGCTTTTGAGCGTCCTGTGTGACGGGAGGGGTCTTTCCCGCAGAGCTCAAGACGCTTCCGAGGGCGCTAGTTCGTCGACTCTCCCGGAGGCCGCCCCTTTGACTGCTGCGTCGGGTCAGCCATCGACCACTGAGGTAACCGGCTTGGAGTGTCAGTCGGTGTGATCGGCGACGAGCCAAGTCATCATTCATCTTTCCCTGCGAGCCCCCATGAGAATTATAGGAGGGCAATGTTAGAGCATTAACATTATTAAAACATTGAATTCTGGACAAGTGTTTAGAGAGGGCAGTAGCTGCTGCAAATATGCGTATAACTGCCATTTATAAAACCAGCGTAGCAAGGTAGTGCGTTCCAGTATTTTATAGACATTTGATAAAAAACAGTTAACGGTAACGTATCACGTAACCTATATCGTGACTTAAATCACACTCGTATAATTTAAAACATTATATGAAAAACGTAGGTAGAAAACCATTATAATGATGTTTGTAATCTTTGTTATTCAGTATTAGCCCCCTTTTTACCCAGCATTGGTCAAATAACCCTAAAAAAATGTCCTTTGTCAGAGTGTAAATAAAAGCAAAGTGGCGCTTCTTTTTTGGTAAAACCAATCGCAGTTGAGTTGCTTTAAAAGCATAAAATGCTTTTTAACGCTTTCCCCAATCCCCAAATTGTGTCCGCTCGTCCTTCCGTTCGTGCATTTCCCGTTAAATTTAGCGGGGAAATTGACATCATGTGACCTATTTGCCGAATATAGTTTCCCCGTTAAATTTAGCGGGAAATTTCATGTCACGCGACTTCACGTCCAGGGACCTACAGACCAATTCAGTTTTCCCGCTAACATTGGTAGGAAATGTCCCGTAACCTGACGTCGCGTGAACTATACGCCAATGTAGTCTCACGATAAATTTAGCGGTACAATTGAAGTCACATGACCCCACGTTACCTGACCTCTTAGGTATATATATATATACACGGTGTTTTTCTGTTAAAGCTTTGCAGATTGATTTAAAAATGCCGTGAAAGTTACACTTATGCTCTTTGTGCAGGTGAGTTATGCGGCCAGGGGGACATATTATAGGGGAATATTTGTAACGATCAGTCGGCTAATTAATTAAAATTCGTAATTAACTGTTTTTATAATATGAAAATAGACATATGGGTCGAATTAGAAACTTGCTCAGCGTCATAAGAAACCACTAAATCAGTAATTTTCAGAAAGAATTAGAGCGCGTGAGCAGCGTACACTCTGTTTCACCTTATGTTGTACCGCAGCGAAGGCTAGAAGCTCGCGAGCTCATAGCGTTGGCAGCTGCCCTTGGTGTACGAGAGCTTGGAGGTATGTTTATTTACAGGAAGGCAAAGAGGTCAACTTGCTTGTGAGTGCTGGTTTGCTACTTTGCGTGAAAAGGAAGAGAGCAGAAAGACAGCAGGCACACACATCCCACACACATACTCAAACACATATATACGCACTCAAAGATTGGCGAAAAATAAATAGCCACACGTACACTAAAAAGAGTGATGTCAGTTCACAGCTCTTGGTCCAGGCGGGTGTCCTTTAAGAACCGGAGTAAAGCGTTGGTTGCTTTGGATTCTTTTGCTACTGAAGTCCAGGGTCCTAATATATGGCTGAGCTCAATGTCCTGATCATGTATTTTCAAGGATTGTTTTAGTATTTTCCTTTGGGAACTATATAGTGAACAATGGCAGAGTACATGTTTAATGTCGTGTGTTGTTGAGCATGCTGTACAATGCGGTGAATCTACTTGGCCGATCATATGAAGATATTTTCTAGTAAAAGCCACATTCAAGCGTATTCGATGCAGCACAGTTTCTGTTCGTCGTTTTATATTTCCCGGCATTCGGAACTTTAATTGCGGGTCAATATGTTTCAAGTGCGCATAATAGTAGCATGGATCTGTCCATAGTCTGGGTGATATTTCTCTCCCAATTTTTCGGACTATATCATTTGCATCTGTCCTTGACAGAGGAATTGCGCAGGTATTATCAGCTTCGTGGGCGTCCGTAGCAGCTTTGTCAGCACAGATGTTGCCGGGTATGCCACTGTGCCCCGGTACCCACTGTAAGACAATTTCATGTCCCTGACACCTCACATCATGGAATTTCTGCATTATGTCATAAATCAGTTGAGCATTTACGTTATTCTTTCTTTTATGCATGAGTGCGCTGAGAGCGGACTTGGAGTCTATAAATATTGTCCAGTTTTGGGGGTTTTGAGTGCTGATGTAGGCAGCAGCTGCCCGGATAGACGCAAGTTCAGCTGCCGTCGAGGATGTAATATGGCTCAGTTTCGTTTTGATTGTCGTGCTAGTTGACGGAATATAGGCTCCAATGGATGATGATATAAAGTTAGTTGACCCGTCTGTATATATGTGTCGCGATGAGAGATAGGCATGATGTATATACTCAAGTGTTAGCTGCATCATAACAGGTGTTGAGGTTGCTGCTTTTTGCGTAACACCGGGGATGGTCAATTTAATGTCGATAGAACTGCACGTCCATGGTGCTTGCTGCGGAGGTTTAGCTAATTCAAAAGCATTTGGAATATACCCATGGAGTTGCGAGATAACCTTCGAAAAGCGAGCAGAGGGTTTAACCTCCGTAATATTCGCTAGATGATGTGCTTGGGTGCGCGCTTGGTGTCGTAGGTGAACTCAAATAGTTTCTTGGGTTCTGAGGATACCGGGCGAAATTGCTCTAGCCTCAACAAGAGTTCCAATGTTTGATGTACATTTTGGTAGTCCTAGGCAAACTTTTAGAGCCTGTGCTTGAACACTTTCCAGGTCTTTCAATTGACGACTTGGAGATACCAAGCATGACTTAAATACTGTAGCGTAATAGTCCGACAAAAAGAGCGTTGTAAAGGGTCAAAAGTGCTCTTACTGAACGTCCCCATCTCGTTCCACTTATCATTTTAATAATTTGTGTGAAGGACTTCAGCTTTTGCTTTATGCGCCTGATGTGTGGGGACCATGACAAGGATCGATGTAGGGTCACTCCTAAGAATGTATGTTCTTTGACGTATTCAATTGGTGTCCCCTCTATTAGAATGGGATATCTCCTTGTATCCTTTCTCGTGAAGGCGATAGCAGCGGATTTGGCTGGGGAGATTTGCATTCCATGTGAATGGAGGTATTTTACAGTTATATTGACTGTTTTTTGTATACGCGCTCTGTTTATATATAACGATCTGCTAGACACCCAGAAGCAAATATCATCGGCGTAAAAAGATGTATGCACATTTTTCGGAAGCAGTTTGACAAGATGAATGAGACATATGTTGAAAAGAGTGGGACTCAGGACACCTCCCTGGGGTACTCCTCTTGTAACTTCATAGAGATCGGTGTCTCCACCTTCAGTGGAAATAAAGATGTGTCTACCTTTCAGGTAACCGGAGACCCACGTACATAGTCTTGTACTGAGACCGATCCTTCTCATATCTGTAAGGATGGCGCTATGATCCACAGAATCAAAAGCAACTTTTATATCAATAAAGACGGCGGTTGTTTTCAATTTTCTCGCGTTTGCTTGTTCAACGGTGGATACTAGGTTTAAAACATTGTCAACACTGTTCCTTCCTCGGCGGAATCCTGACATGCATGTAGGAAGTATCTTTCTGTTCTCGAGGTCCCATTCGATTCGTGACAGTATCATTTTTTCCATGACTTTCCCGACACAGCTCGATAATGCGATGGGTTGATATGAGCTAATCTCCTAAGGGGTCTTGGCTGGCTTAAGTATGGGAATCACTCGTGAAGTCTTCCACTCTTTCGGTATTCTACCAGATTCTCACGAAGCGTAATAGACATCGAGTAAGAATGTTCTAGCCGCGCTACCAAGATGTGCTAATGCAGAATAGCGGACACCATCTGGACCAGCGGATGAGTTCTTGTTTGTTGAAGAGAGTGCCTCTTTCAGTTCTATTAAAGTAAATGGAGCGTCGATGACATCGTTTTGCACTGATGCAGTGTTATGACTAGCTATAGGGATAGCCAAGTATGATATTGAGGAGTCGCGAGTAATCTGCAAGCAATAATCTTTTGCTACTTCCTTTTGTGTAACTTGCCGATGTAGTGCGATCGAACGAAATGGGTAAGTTTGCTGCGGCCTGGAACCGAAACTTCACGTCATATGCCATATTTGCGTTACAGGCTTCCTGGGATTCAGTCTAGCACTGTTCGATCTCCATCGTTTCATTGAAAGCTTATCGAGATGGCGTTGCACCTTTCTTTGCGCTTGTCTGGACTTTCTTATATCTTCTCTATTTTTAGTTTTTCTTGCCCTTCGTTCGGCTCGTCGACGGATGGCTCGAAGTCGTTCGTACTCCTCATCCACAGCTATTCGGCTGATCTGCATTCTTAAAGATTTTGTAGCATCCGATGTTGTTTTCTCAATAATATTAAAAAAATCTTCAATTGTGGTTATCTCCTGGCATGTATTTCAACTTTTTCGCTGAACATATTCCAGTTAGTATATGTAAGGAGTTTTTTACGGCGACTGTTATTTAGTCCGGGTATCAATGTGTAAGTCGGAAAGTGATCACTGCCATGAGTTTCGATGTCTACAAACCAGCGAGGTGGGGGCGAAATGGAAGACGATGCCAGCGTGATATCTAAGCAGCTGCTAAGTGTTGCACCTTTAATAAATGTTGGACTTCCGTCATTCAATATAGTTAGGTTGTGTTGGTGAGCAATGTTTATAATATTTTTTCCTCGTACTATGGTTTTTACCCCTCCCCATAAAGGAAGGTGGGCGTTAAAATCCCCAGTCAAAATATGTGGAGACGGGGTTGCCCTAATTAGCTCGTCTAGAATGTCTTTGTCGAATCTGGCTCTTGGTTCAATATATGCAGCTATTACTGTCAGAACTGTAGTGTCCTTGCTAATTGTTGCTGCCACGTATTCATTGGTAGGATGGGGGTTTACATCGTGTATCACATATGTGAGGTCTTTACGTATCACCAGTAAAAGCCTGCTGGGACTTCTTCCACGACTTGAGTGGAATACTTCATAACTGGGCAAGCGTAATGTTCGAGTAACACGTGATTCCGATATTACTATTACGGGGAATTGATATTTGAAGGTTAATTGACGAAAGTCTGAAAGACGGT